AGGCTTAAGTGTTTTAGGATATCCAGAGAGAGCTCAGCAAACACCACATGGCAGGGAACCATAACCACAATGTCTGCTTTTAAGCGATTTAACTCATGAGTTCTGAGCAAAGAACTGGTCTTTCAGACTCCATTTCTCACAGAAGTACGTGTAATTTCTTCCCCATGCCTTAATTTAGTCTGGCAATATATCGCAATAATTGTGCAGCTTTTGTTTTACAGTTTGACTTGAGAAAAGGAGATGGCTCTGATACCTTTGGATCTTGTCTGAGTGGTTGGTGCCCAAAGTCGACCTCTTCCCACAGTTGGTAAACAGCTTTAAGATTCAGAATCTTTTCTTTTGGTTCTCATTTGCCTGGAGAGCCATAAATGTCAGCCTGGTAACTTCCTCACAAACAGAGCCCACTGGTAAGTAAGTCAGTAAAAGCAGGTGGGAGGCACGCTCCGAATAGGCACGTGAAGACACTTCACTACCTTCTCGTCCCGGTGCTGCTGCGAGCACCGCGCAGAGAGCCAGCCCGCCATGCGCACATGAAATCTGTTTTTTAAAGCTTCCTCGAAACATACACTTAGCATTCAACTGGAACAGGCAAGTTAGATGAAGGGGCTATTTTTATCAGGTTTTTCTACAGTTTGAACAATTTGGAATTAAGAAGACTGGATTACTAGGTCAGAAATGAGGGCAGTTGCAAAACACAGACCATCTTCTTAGGATGGTTGTACTTAGGGCATCGGAGTTAAAAAACACAATTTCTTTCCTTACCTTTTACACTTATTCCATCTTTTCTAAAAACTCCCATTCCACACTCTACTTTTTCCTGGAGGATTATGACTAAGTTGAAATTATTTTAAGATTTCACTCCCTTCAGAGTTATCTGTCAGGGATCCCCGCCCCCCAGAATGTTAAGTCCTCCTGGCAAAGCCTCACAATCTGTTTTCCTTGAACCTACAAGAACCTTGTTAACTGTGTGATACGCAGTAAACCAAACATTTGTGTAGTGTCTGTCTGCCTGAGAGATAAAGCTGTTCTTGCAATTAAAGTCCTGGAAGACATCAATAACTCCCTTGCGTTTCAGGGCTTTGAGGAGAGTTGCCTCAAAAAAAAAAAAAAGACAGTTTTACAAAGTCTTTGGATGTATGGAGAATTTCACTGTATTGCAGTAAGATACTGAGTATACTTTCGGGCAAACAAACAAATGAAAGAAAAGAGTTGATACAGAAATGAACATGTTAGTAGTATAACAATAAAAATTCTTCAAAATTCATTACCTTTGACTATTTAAAATGAAAAGCACTGCTTGATCCTGCTTGATTGAATGCCACAATCTCTTCATTTTTCCATTTTAGGTTCTTGTGTTAAATTTTCCTAAAAGAATAAAAACTGCTAATTCCAATCAATTAATAATTTAAAAGAAACATCCATTTATCATTAAGTTCTTAGGTTTTACCAAAGGTGATAGAAAAGACCAGGCCTAGTTCTGGATTTTCACAGACTACTTTACCAAATGGTACAATCCAAATTGCTAAGAACTCAATTTTAAAGGCTTCTATACTTCCCTGAGTTTTGTTCAGAACTTGTATCCAGGGTTATGCCAGTCTGTAAACTGTCCTCAAAACCACAATGACCCACAAATCCCCTCTGCGGACTGATTGAAATGCTTTGCTTAAGCAGCAAAGGATATATTTGGTGAAAAAACTCTTCCATTAAAGAACACAATTATTATAACAGCATGATTTATAAAAAGTCACTTGTCCATTGTTTGGTGAATGCTAGTTTTCTGTTATTCTAGGAACGAGTCTCAGTTTCTTCATTTTCTAGGTTTGGATGCTGCTATATATGACGTGTGGTGGTGGCGGCAGTCTCCCTCTCTGTGGATGTGTAGGGGCGGGGAGGTTGGAAGGAATATGACACACTCAAGTCTAAGGAAGTGCAGCTTGTAAGGTAGTCAAACCTGGAAAAGCCAAGCTACTGTTCCTCTAATTTAAATGTCCAGCAAGCTGACTTGACTATTATTTGTAAGTATTACAGAACATGAATCTGAGCACCAGAACTCTCTAGCACCTCAACTCACGTTTTGGGTGATTTCCTAGGGGAAGCCCTTAATTAAAGGCATTCCCTTCTTTCCTTTTCCCCTTCTCTCCTGTTCTTCCTTGATGTCTACTGGCCAGAATCAGGGAAGGCACTTCGATGTATGCAAATAGTTTCTGGTAAGCTGCAGCCTGCTCTTGGATTTGAAATTAGATCTTCAAACTGATGCTATCAGCATTTTACCTAAATACTTCACTGATACGTAATAACTTATTTAAGACAAACAATAAGTGGCAAAAAATGTGATCACAATCGGAGAGTCTTGGATTTAGTTTCTGCACAAAGTAAGTTGAAGGGTCCCCAGAGGTATTTTCTTCTAACAGCATCAGAACCATGTTAGGCTTGGGCCAGAAAGTCATACTTGTTGTTGCAAGGGTTCAGTGTCAGGCTTGTTTAGAGCAGCATGAACTAAGGGGCTTTTAAAGCTCCTTTGTTGATAGGATTCTGTAGTTCTGAGACCCAGAGCCTTGGAATTCCCCAGAAGCAGCCACAAGAATTTCTAGAGTCTTTGTGGTGCCCCAGGACAGTTGAAAGTGACCAGTACTCCAATTCCCAAGCAGACTAGGGCTAAAGAGGGAAGGAAGAGAAAGCTGGGGGTGGGGGGGTGGGGGGGTGGGTTGGAGGATGGAGAAGAGAGGAAAAAGAAGTACCATGGAAATTTGTTTAATATTTAAGAGCCAAAAAGTATGGCATACTTACCTCTGAGCACTTTCTCCCCTTATATTTCATGTGTATGTGTGTGTGCTTGTGTGTGTGTGTGAGAGAGAGAGAGAGAGAGAGAAAGAGGAGAGAGAAGGGAATTGGTACAGTTGGCTTATATTTTGACCTCCATTTCATTTACTTCACACAGTCATCTTTACATTCATTCTCTTCAATCACGCGCCCCAAGGCCTACCCCCCACCCCAATACCCCAAGATCCAGTGCTTATCCCGCTTGTTCTCAGAAGACTTCTCTGACCACCCTGGCCCAGGACAGTTTGCCCTGTTGGTCTCTCACTTACTATTTGAACTAGCCATTTGGCCCCTATCAATGACAGCCTGATGGTGCCACTTATCTCGTCCCATGTGTATGTCTTATCTGTCCAATTAGATTCAGAGCTCTTAAGAGCAAGAGCAACTATCTTTTGTTTTTTTCTATTTTATTTTTTTTAAACCGTATCACACATAGGAGTTTAGCACAGTACTTTACACACAGTAGTGGGTGGTCAATCAATAATTGTTAATTGATTAAAAATCTGGGAAAGGAACATGTTTTGCAAGCCCACCTTGTTGGCCCAAGGAAGATGGGGGTTTAAGAATCTTCATGCACATTTTTTCTTTATGGAGAACTGAACTCCTTCAAGGTTTAAATTTATGTGATTTCAGATTGAGGATAATTCCACTTCTGCTCTGGTCATAATGCCTTACATTTCATCGACAAAGATCCACCCTAGTTGCAGTATCCATTTCAAGTTATATATTTTAACAAAAGAGAGGTTTTGAGGAGATCTGTGTTGAACCGGTTAGAGGGAAAGAAGGAATCGGTGCTGGAGTAGCATTATTTGTGCTTTCATATCCTCCTTCAATATATCAAAGTTTGCTTCTTCAAATTTCTCTCGAGAGTACCATTCTTCATGGTAGCCAAAGATCTACTAAGGATTAATTTTCCTTTTTTTGCTATATTTTTGTCCAGATCATACTGTTCAGCTTAGACTAGAAATCAGGGAAGTATTTTTTTTTTTTTTTGTATCCTGGATGGGTTTCAAATAGAGTTTGTCACAACAGGCAGTAACTATGGAGCACTTAATATTTGTAAAGTACTTACCAGTCTTTTACCAGTTTGCCTTTGAAACAGCATCGTTGATGTAGGCTACTTATCTTCTGAATTTCCAGATGGAGAAAGGGCAGAGAGGTTAAGTGGCTTGCCTGAAATGTAATAGTATGTTACTAGTAGTGCTCCAGTATTAATGCTCCACCATTCCTGAGGGAAAAATGTTATCCATGTTTCCTTTCTAATTTTGAAGGAAAAATAATCCCAGAGCTACCCATTATCTCTTGATTTGTAGGGTGGTAGAAGTATTTGGTTCGTAGTTTTTATTCATTAAGAGGTGAGAAGTTACTTCAGCAAAATAAAACTGATTAAAGAAGTTTTGAGGAACGTAGTGCATGAAGAAAATCATTTTGTGGTATAGAGGGGCATATAAAGCTACAATAAGACTCTTTCGCCCCAGTAGCCAAATAATCAAACCTCAGTGTAAAAGCTAACAACAAAGCTCTCCTTTGCTAAACACTTTCTAGGCAATATGCCTTCTGTTTTATTTGAGATGATTGTACGCATTGAGAGAAGTAGGGGGACAGGGTCAGACGACGGGGGTCGTGCGGAGGGTATTGGTGAGATGACTTGCTCTCACTAATCTCAGTTTCTAGAGGCCAACCCCAGGACCCCAACCTATTGACTTATCACTCCTGAATTCAGTAAATGACCTGGAATGACCTGGAGCCTTAGATTTTTTTCCTTCTCCAGATCTGTCCAGGTGATTCATAGATGCTTCTTTGCACACAACCGAAGAAATCCATCTTGGGATGCTATTTTGCTCCGAGTAGGCCTCTTGTGCTGTAACTGGTTTCCCTCTTGGGAGATGGACTGCAACTGGAGAGGTGCAACTATTAATGAAATTGATTTTTATCCAAGTTAAATCCTATCTCTGCTCAGATATGCCTGGTTTTCGGTTTGTTGCTCTCTTGCTTGTGGAGCAGGGTTATATGTTTCTTTTATTTTTATTTTTTTAAAAGATTTTATTAGTTGACAGAGAGAAACACAGCGAGAGAGGGAACACAAGCAGAGGCAGAAGGAGAGGGAGACGCTGGCTTCCCGCAGAGCAGGGAGCCCGATGCGGGGCTCGATCCCAGGACCCTGGGATCATGACCTGAGCCGAAGGCAGACGCCTAATGACTGAGCCACCCAGGCGCCCCAGATGATATGCTTCTAACTTAAACATCATCAATGAAGAATCATATCGAGTTCCTGCAGTATTTAAAGTCTTGGCCCACAAACCCAATAATGCTAAAGAATCCCGCCCTTTTTCAAGTCCACTAGCCAAGAATCACTAGGTTTAAGGGATCCCCTCTTTGATGAGGCTCTAGAAAAGCTGGATGGAGAGTTAACACTTACCCTTCCTCTGCTTCTCTCTACATTAAGAAATGTTTTAGAAGGACGAGAAGTTTGCATACTTAATAAAGTCTTCACAGCTCAGATAGTTTTGGCCTCATCTTTGAAACTATTCATCAAGTGGGTGTTGGGAACCCTGGATATATTTGGAGAGAAAAAGGATCAAATCAATCAAAGCACAAAATCATTCAAAAATTACTTTTAGGGAAGAGATAATTGTGTTTATTTGAAGCGGCCAGTCTCCTTCGTTCTCTGAGGAAAGACTTTTTGGCTACCTTAGTTATATAGGTTCACAATAATTCTTAGGATTTATGTGGAAGAAAAAATAAAAGTTGTCTTTAGCCCTTCTGATAGCTACATTTATCTTCTACCTGCATAAAACCTCATCTTTAGAAATATGGCCTTCAATCCCTATTACTATATCAATTAAAGTTTAAGAAACTTCATAATCTTAATATGGACTTACTTTTGATAACTATAATTACCCTCCCAACACCCATACCATTAAGGGCCTATTCAATTAGAGATGACTTTCCTTTTCCTGGAGATATAGAGTCAAATGAAAAAGTCACTTTGGAAGTGACACCCAGAGCAATGTCACTGTGATAATCCAAGGAGAATGTAACCAAAAAACACATTTTTTTTTCCATCTCACTGCTGCCATGTTCATTACCTATTTATTTCACTCTGTCTATCTCTGGAAAAAGCTTGACTTTAAAGATGTTTTTCTTTTTTTCAAAGTATGTCATTGGGTTGTGAGGAAGAAACCTGAGAACCTGTCGTGGGGCATTTGGCTATGTGTACACTAATAAAAACGAGCATTTCACCACCTTGTAACAGTTTTTGTTTTTTTAATTTCCTTTTGTGAAGGGCCCCTAGGATGAAGATTGGTTGGGCTTCTGCATTAATAGCAGAAAATAATAGTAGTTGACATTTATTAGGTGAAGACTATATGAGAGGCAGTGAGACCACCACTTTACATGTACTATTCTGTACCACAACCCTGTGATAATGCTAATACAGAGCCCATGATAATACTAGGGTAGCGTCCTGAGTGAGCAGATGAATGAGACTGAGCTTTGGACGGTTAAGGGAATTGCATATGGTCGCACTGCTCATGGGAAATAGAATTGCAATCAAAACTTGGGCAGTTTTATCCAGAGATGGGCCTTGGCCCTCCCACAGCTGCATCTAGCTGCTCCTTATCATTTGGGAGGTAAGAGAACATTTCCCATAGGTAAGAGGCTGTGGTCCACTATTTGCTGAGTACTCGCTCTACGTAGACCACTAGAACTCGTAAACTCAAGAGAAAAAATATTTTTGCAAAATACTGTGGGAGAGAATGGAACCTAATTTATGATAAAGAATATAATATTTGCTGGTGGGCCAAAAGGACCAAGAAAGAAGGACAGAGGGTCTTTATTTTGGTGCACAAAAATTATTGTTATCCCTTCAAAGCCTTGAAATTGCTGGTTCGAGAGGAAGGACAAGCCCTCCAATCTCTAGGACTAGTGATAAGGAGGCATAACTGTTTCTCCCTACTCCTGATCAATAAAATGATTTCAGGGAACCATGAGGAGTTTTCAACAGAGGCTGCCACTTTATAGTCAGTGGTTCTGGGACCTCAAGAGTGATATAATAACCTTAGGAAAATTGAGATTTGAGAAATAAGTGGTGTGTTTAATGGATTAAATTACACCAAGAATCCATGTGCCTACATATATTGGATATATGTGTGTGTGCGCGTGTGTGTATGTGCGTGTGTGAAAAATGAATCTTGACCCCTGACCTCACACCATGCTTAAAAAGCCATTCCAGATGGATTGTTGAACTAAATGTAAAAGGAAAAAACAATAAAGTTTCTAGAAAATAACAGGAAAATATCTTTGTGACTTTGAAGTAGAAAATTATCTCTTAAACAGGGCATAGAAAATACAATAAAGGAAAATATTGGTGTATTAGATATTGATAAAAGTAAGAGCTTCTGTCATTCAAAAGTCACCATGAAGAGAATAAAAAGGCAAGCCACAAAACAGAAGCATTTATTTGCAATGCATAGAACTAAAAAATGACCCAGAGCCAGAATTTTTGAAGAACTTCTAAAGATCAATAAGAAAGCAGACAATCCAGTAGAAAAAAATGCACAAAAGACTGGAACCGAGATGTACAATAAAGGATACTCAAAAGGCCAGTAAATATTACTATCCGTCAAGGAAACACATACGTGATTTTACTACACTTTAACTAAAATGGCTAAAATTAAGAGGATTGACAGTACAAAGAGCTTACAAAGATACAGGATAACACACACTTCTGGTAGAAATGTAAGTTGGTATAATCACTCTAGACAAGAGTTTGGCAGTATCTCCTAAAACAGGACATATGTGTATCATATGCCAAAATGATTTCACTCCAGCGTATAAACATAATAGAAATGCATTCATATGTGTACAAAAGACTCGTTCACAGCAGCATTATTTATAACAGCCAAAAACTCGCCATCAGCATGAAAATGGAGAAATGAATTGTGGGTATATTCATACAATGTATATTACAGAGCAACAAAAAGGAATGTATTACTGATACATGCAACAAAATGAATGAATCTCATAAATGTAATGCTAAGCAGGAGAAGCTAGACAGAAAAGAAAACATACCACAAGATTATATTTATATGAAGTTCACAGACAGGCAAGATTCACTGATGGTCATGGTAACAGAAATCAAGATAGTGATTATGCAGCATAATCTCTCCCACCCTGACTGATACACTACCAAAAATGCCACCTTCTCTCTGAAGCTTTACCTGATATTCTCCTTCTGCAGTGACAAAGGAATATTGCTTGTGTTTTTATTTAAAATTTATCTCGGGCGCCTGGGTGGCTCAGTCGGTTAAGCGACTGCCTTCGGCTCAGGTCATGATCCTGGAGTCCTGGGATCGAGTCCCGCATCGGGCTCCCTGCTCAGCAGGGAGTCTGCTTCTCCCTCTGACCCTCTTCCCTCTCGTGCTATCTCTCATTCTCTCTCTCTCAAATAAATAAATAAAATCTTTAAAAAAAAATAAAATAAAATTTATCTCATTCTGCCTTTCTTAATGATTAGCTTTCTTGTTAAATATCTGCTTTCTTCTTCTCTCTATCATCAACTACTTTTTCATCCTATACATACGTATAGACTACCTCATTTCAATAAATATACTCAGATAGTGATAAAGAAAACAAGGTTGAGATTATTTAAGGATACTCCCAATAAATGTTTAAAATAATCTTGTACGGTAGTATAACATGCATATAAAAAGTGCACTGATCATAAACATACAGACCACTTAATTTTCACAAAGTGAACAATCCCGTATAATGAACACATAGATCAAGAAATAGCACTTTTTTAGTAGCCTAGTTATGACCTCTACAAAGGAAACCAAAGCCTAAATCACAAACTATTATGGTCATTTCTCAAAAGCAGGATGGGGCCTCCCAAACAAAATTTGGTTCAGATGTCAAGACTACTAATGCCACACATATAGCAAGATGATATGAGAAGGTTTGTCACATAGTGAGGCTCTCTGGGGGGAGTAGGGAAGTTCTCCCAAACTGGTAAAAAAAAATGGCTTGAGAGAACAAGAAAAGGAGACGAGCCTGAGATTTTACTGATAGTTAGAAGGTGGGCCAGGGGAGTGTTCTTTCATTCGAGAAGAGGCTTGCATGGTCTGAACTTTCCATCAAAGAAAGGTGCACCCAGGGGTTTTGTATCAGCTACTGCAGATGTAGGACAAAAGGGAAGAGGGAGGGGCGAGGCTTAAAAGATGTCAGCAGTCCGACATCGAAATATGGAGTCAGACTTTTTATTATGTGAAGACAACCTGCATTTATTTCTTGCTCATGTTATGTGTCCATCACGGTTCGGGTGGGAGCTTTGTTCCATGACATCTTTAGACTGTCTGAGCAACAGTTATCTGGGCCATTGCCCATTACTTTAGTGAACAAAAAGAAAAAAAAGAAGAAGAAGAAGAAAGAAAAAATAGCCCATCTCACACTGAACTACATAGCTTCTGTCCAGAAGCATCATGTGTCATTGTACTTATATTTCACAGGCCAAACTGAGTCACATGACTCTGCCAAATGCAAAGGGTAAGTAGAGTGCAATCTACCCTATGTTTGGAAGGGGGAGAACCAAGAATATTTGATGAACCACTCTGTTGTCTACCACAAGTGGATCTTGAAGGATGAGCAGAGTATTGACGGGTGACAAAAGAATACTGCTGAAATCCAAGGAAGAAGATGAGCAGAGATGTGGAGGGGTGGGTGGTGTGGCTCAACCAGAGAATGTCTGAAATGAACGTATGGGAGATGAGGTTAGAAAGAAGCGTTGAGTTCTGTAATAGAAAGTCTTGAAAATGAAGTATTTTGGACTTAGAGCATGGGATGGAATGAACAATTTTGAGAGTGGTGAACATGTACTTCTTAGTAAGATGGCGTAGATAAAATAAATAGGAAATCCGGATGTTATTGTAATAGCCAGGGGAGGGTGGATGAAGCCCTGACCAGAACAGTGGCAGTGGGAAGAGGTAAGAGCAGGTTGGGGTCTTTGGGGGTCCGACTGGATATGAGGCAAAAATGAACAGCGGAAATGATTCCATTTTCTTCTGCCCTGGGTGACTGGAAGAATGGTGGTAACATTTCATAGGGTACAAAAGACAGCGTGGGGTAACTGAATAAGTTTGCTTCTGAAAAGACTGACTTTCTGATGATAGAAGGACATTGCTATAGGCTGAATGCTTGTGTCCTCTCCCAAACTCAGATATTGAAATTCTAATGCCCAAGGTGATGGTATTTAGAGGTGGGATCTTTGGGGGGTGATTAGGTCATGAGAGTGGAGCCTCATGAATAAGATCAACGCCCTTATCAAAGGGACCTCAGAGAGTGCCTTCACCCCTTCAGCTATGTGAGGACACAGCGAAAAGACAGCTATGAACCAGGAAGCGGGTCTTTGCCAGACCCTGAATCTGCTGGTGCCTTGATCTTGGACTTCCCAGCCTCCAGAACCATGTCTCTGGTATTCTGTTGCAGTAGCCCGAACAGACGAAGACAGCCATCAAAGTGTAGAGGAACACCCCAAAATTATTGTCTAACACCT